TAGATAGCTTCTGGTGGATACTGAAAAACATCTCACCCTGCATGTCAATACTGGACGGACACCTCCTTGACACCTGTGCTGAGTTCTGAAGACAGTGCAACTACAGTTGGCATGCTCTCCTGGATACTTTTATGTATCTTGCAGAATCATCGTCTGGAAGGCTTTTGATGGTTTTTTAAAAATGAAGAAGCTCCCAGTGTTCCCAGAAGAGTGAGTAGAAAGGAGAATCCATGAGTGAGCCTCCTAGTCCTGACCTCTCTGTTAAGTGGATAATCCAGAGGTTTGTCCTTGATCCTCATCTTGGACTCCTATGTTTTTAAGTTACTGGAGATCAGAAACACAAGCAGCAGTGTTCCAGGACTCCCCTGGACCATTTGCATGTTACTAAAAATTTTACTGTTTCATGAATTTATTTCTGATATAGATGTACTTTTTAATTGACTCCACTTAAAAATGAAGCAGTCATCATTCTTGATGGAAAAAAAAAAAAAAATGGACCATCCTAGAGAGTGATGTTGACAGTGGGGGTGAGGGATTATGCATGTGAGGAGAGAGGAGACATACAAAATAAACCTCTGGTTTCTAGTTGAAACTTCTAAAAAAAAATTAGTCTTATTAAAATTCAGTAACTATCACTATTTGTACTATCATATAGTTTTTTTTTTAGTCCAATGTATGGAAGAATAATTAACATGAAATAAAAGTGGGTCTTTTTAGTGGATAACTCCAGGAAATTTGACAAATATATTAAGCCACACAGCCACCACCACTCTCAAGATCTAGAACATTTTTTTCACATGTTCCCCTTTGCAAAATTCCTATTGCTTTGAAGCTGTTTGCAACAGAGATCCTTTCTCTGTTCCTATGCTTTTGCCTTTACCAAAATATCTTAGGAATTGAACATCCAATACAATGTATATGTTACACATGCTGTTGTATGTATCAGAAGTCCATTTCTTTTTATTATTTAGTAGTTTCTACCATACAGTGTGGATAAAACACTGTAAAATGAGATATGTATCTATTCATTATTTGATGGGAATTAGATGGTTTCCAGTTTTAATATCATAAATCTTTCAATCTGTAAGTATGGTATTTCTAATTAGTTATTTTTTACTTTCTCTGAATGTTTTGTAGTTTTTGTTATATTTATACCAAAGTGTGTTGTATTTTGGTGTTACTGTATACTCTTTGTGTTACTTATATGAAGGCACTTTAGGGACTCCCTGGACCGTAAGGGTTAAGTCTCAGCACTAATACTGTTTTGGCCTGAGTTTGATCACCAGCCAGGGAGCTGACCCACAAGACACAACAGACCGCTCCTGTCTCCCCCACCTCTCCTGAGAACGATGTGTTTCAGTATATCAGCCTGTTCTGCTCCTCACTCTGGTGAATCCTTGTACCTCTAGCCTATACCCCAGTTCTTCTACACAATAAATAAAATCTTTGAAAAAAAAAGACACTTTAAAAATTTCAATTCATAGGTTTCCATAATGAACACACAGAAATATAATGTATTTTGATTCGCTGACCTTGAACCCTGTGATCTTGCTAAACTGAACTTTAAAGTAAATTCTTAGGGGTTCTCTATGTAAAAAACCATGCATCTGTAGAGATATTTTGTTTTTGCCTTTCCTATCTCTATGCCTTGAGTTCCTTTTCTCGATTCATCCCTGGGGCTAGGGCCACCAGTGTGATAGCTGGCACTGACACCCTAGTCTCCATCAGGATCTTATGGAGGAAGCGTTTGACTCCAGTATGACAACAGCCATCAGACTTTCACAGATGTCTTTGAAACACTGAGCAAGTTCTCTTAGTTTGCTTAGCTTCTATGACAGGAATTTGAATTCTGTCATTTACATTTCACATCTCCTTTCAAAGAGGATACTTCCATAACCACGATTAAGTTGACTCATTAAGGACAGCAATACTGACTGTTATTTCTGCAGCATAGCTCTAAAGGCGGCTTTAACATGCCTATCATTTAGATTTTGGATAAATCACTATAAAAAGTCATGTCGGTGATTTCTGACATCAAACAACAATAGCAGCAATAATATGAAATTTCATACCCATCTTCACTGACAAAAGAAAGAAAAAGAGAAGAACTCAGAAAAAGCAGCACCTGCTAACCAGGGGTAAGCCTGTGTGTGTGCAAGTAGATCTCATTCTCATTTTGGTTTATTAGTCCTTCTTCAAGGCAGAACAGCATCATGGCTAGATATAAAATTTCAAAATCTCAGACAAAATAAAATATAACTCAGCCTCAACACTCCCATTAAATCAGACCAAAGGCAACTCTTTGTCAGGGTCTCTTGATTAAGCTCCATGCCAATCACTCCCTGGTTCAAGCCCTAATCACTCTTCCTTGCCTGATGTCAAAGGTCACTCTGCTGGTCTTCAGATTTGTAATGGTCTTCGGGCTCTCCCTGGGAGGCTTCCAACCCTCATGAAGATTCTGGAATTGCTCATCCTTGAAGAATCCAGTGCTAACACCTCCCGGATCAAGTCCACATACTTTTCCTTTGCTCCTACGATTCACTGTGCACAGTCCCATATCCGGAAACCCCCAACTCCCCATGTTTGCCTGGTCCAGCTCATTTGGAAACTCAAAAATAGTTCAGGACATTACGCCTTAAGGCGCAGTCACTGTTCTGGAGCCAAAGCTCTTCTGACGGAGAAAATAAAAAAGTTCCTCATGCAGAGAACAGTTCTTATGGGACCTTCAAACAGATGCAGGAGATAAGAAGGCCGTGGAAAACTCTCAATGATGCATCATGAACAATCAGAGATTGATAAATATACCTTTAACTACTTGAAACTGGCTGTAACTTCTTAGTGCTAATGCTGCTGTCCTCCCTCTGCAGCCCATGGTCACAACAGCTCAAGATGCTTCTCGGCTACAGCACAGCAGCACAACTGACATTTGGGAACAGAGGAATCTTTACTGTGGAAGGCTGTCTTGTATTTGCTGGATGTTGAACAGCACACCTGGCTTCTCCCCCCTAGATGTCGGCATCATTCAACCAACTACGCCCTCACCCCCAGCCAGGACATCCCCTGCCAGCAGTAACAACTGACAATGTCTCCAGGGATTCCCACATGTCCACAGTGGGGCATATCAGCTTGGGTGGAGAATCCCTGGGTAAATGAAAGCGTGCTGTATGTTTAGGTTCCTAATGGGAAGTTTGAAATAAAAAGAAAATCTACAGGTAAGAGTTGGCCGAAACCTCTGTCAAGGCATAAATGTTCTCCAGAGATGATGACAAATGGAATAAGAAGGGTGAGGAGGGGTGAGGAAGCCAGTCTGGGCCCCTGAAGGGTTAGGATCAGACAGAGCCATCAGTGGAAAGTGAACATAACATACACAAGAATTTCTCTATGGTCATACAAAATTGCCATGCTCCCCTGGGTGCACCCCAAGTTTATAGCCTCATCTGTTTACACATAATTTTCCTCTCCATGAAATAACCCGTGTCATCTTCACATGACTATGGATGGTCTCCTAGCAGAATAGAAAGCTGAGATGAAAAAAAAGGGGGATGGTGGGAATAACAGCCAACAGTTTTTTACAATGCACATATAAATTTTTATAGGCCAATATCATCTTTGCTTTGTAACTAAGCAATTTCTGCTATGAATCTCCATAAACTCATGGGATTGTCAGATCATCTCTTCCTCTGTTGATACCCTAGAATAAAATTTTATTTTAGGGTATGCTTTAAATGCAAATAAATATTTCTTCTATTTCCATTTTAAGTTCTGGAAATAACTAAAAGCATAAATAATTAATGCATCAGTCTGTAATCTGATTTCAGAGAGGTTATGAATGGATACATATGCTCATTTCATTCCCTGCTGAAAATACTTTTTTCCTGTGAAAATGCATCTGAATTTTAAAATTTTGGTTTAGTGTTAATTCACTGGATACACAAAACATCTGGTTCCATTGACTTACACACACACACACACACACACACACACAGAGAAGAAACTGAGATTACAAGTTGAAATGTTTGATTAAACTGACATTCGAGTCCATTGTTGTTTTAATTTCAGCCCAGACCCACCAGTAGGAAACTCACAGACACCCCTAACAGTTCTGTTCAGCAAGGAGTCTTCCTGTAGGGATAATGGCATGCAGAGATTTAGGAATGTTGGAATATGTTTATGAAGCAATCAAGTCGAGATGCTGAGTGGTTTCTTTTAGAATCTTAACAAGGTTTGCCACCAGAGCCTTTACCACAGGGCCTTGTGCTTTACGGAGGTGCTTCATCTGCAGACTGACTAAAATATGGCAGATGTGCTTGTGATTTTTCACAACGAAAGTCTGATTAATTATTACATCACTGAAACATAATCACTCTACGTGTGTTAAGACTTCCTTTTTTTAAACTTCTATAGGGGAATGAATGAAGACAAGTAACACTAGCACCGGGCCCTCTCTCACTTCATATAGTGGCTACAGTCCCTCTCCCCACTGTTTTTATATGGAGCACCCTATTCCATTCCAAAACAAAAACAAAAACAAAAACAAAAACAAAGGCCTCATGGGTAATCTGGGGTGATCAGTTATCACAGCAATTTCAATGATTTCTGTTGGGAATTGACCCTGTGGGAGAATTTCTCCAGCCAAGGTGCTGTCCTGAAGATGTCTCACTAGACTTTTTAATTTTTAACAATTTCTGATGTATAATTAATAGATCCTAAAAGTCACTTATTGCAAATATACAATTCCATAGATTTAAATCTATTTTGAAAAGCCCAAATCTCAACAACCCATCACACCCCCAAGAACCCTTGTGCCCATTCATGGTCCCTCCAGTTCGCCCCATTCCTGCCCCTAGTCCCATACCACCCTTTTCTGCAGTGTGTGTCTGCACATTCCGATTTCATAGAATGGAATCATATCATGTACCATCTTCTGTGACTCGAGAGACAGGATTCTCAAATGTCAACACTTTCCTCAGATATGTTTACAACATGCTGCCACCACTTACTGTCTCCCTGGCAAAGCAGAGGCCCCAGTTTATAAGCTGCTTCTGAGTGCGGCCGACCCGTGTCCGTGATCACTATCTTGGTAACCGGCAGATGTTCTTTATATGAAAGGAATCCGGTGTCATTGGTCCTAAAAAAAAAAAAGCAACAATAACAAAATTCCTAAAATTACTCTGATTAACATAATTCAAAAATAAACAATAGTCCTTATTACATTTCCAAGCCAAGATGTTCTGAGCTAAATTTGCACACACAAAAGAGTAAGTATCAAATTGCTCATCTGAGTATATAAAAATATGGCAACATTTTAATGTCTCTTGCAGACAGAACATAGCTGGTAATTTTTGTCTTTATTTTTTAGCTTGCAGAGGAAAGACGTCACTTTATTTTTACCAAAGGTTTACTTTTGTTGGTAATTTGTTGGTCATTTTCTATTTCTTAAATGAAATGGTTTCTTCCATGAATAGTATTAATGACTGCTAATGTGTTTTAATGTGTATCTGTTCCTTTTTATCCCAACAGAAGTCATATTTCTTCTCCTCTTCTGCCTTCTCTTGGCTTACTCATATACTTTTGTATTTAATTTTATTAATTTAATATTTATTCATTTATGCTTACAGAACTGGGGTACAGGCCAGAAGTGTAGGGGCAATGAGAGGCTTCACCCGAGACAGAGTGGGGAGTAGAACAGGCAGATCTATGGAAAACACTGCTGAGGGGAGCAGCTGGCGGGTCAGGAGAGTTCTGCCAGCCATGTGGGTCACTTCCAGGGCCAGGGATCGAACTCATGCGGAAGTGGCTTTAGCTTCTTAGTGCTGTGCTTTAACCCGCTGCACCACCAGGGAGGGCCCTTATTTTTATTTTTTAAATTCACTTTTTAGCTATATGTCTACTTACTATATTTGAATATTTGCTTCATAGGTTATAAAACAAATCCTTAGTCATTGCATACTTAGATTTTATATTGCATTGCTTAATATGTCAGAGACTTACTATAGGGCAATTCTTTAACACCCCCCTACACACACACACACACCACATTCTTTGTGCTATATTGTGATATATTTTAAATGCCAATGTTATAAGCTTTATAATACCATCAAACAGAAGTTTTTTTTAATTAAAAAAATTTAATCTATGGATGTTCTATTTGTTGACATAGTCACAATTTTCTATGTTCTTCTTTTCTTCCTGAAGATCTGAGTTTTCATCTAATGTTACTTCTCCTCAACCTAAAAACATTGTTAGTTTCTGATAGTGCAGTTCTGTGGTGACAAATTCTGAGACACATTTAATCTGAATAAAACTGTGTCTAAAAGACCTTCATTGTTGAAATATATTTGTTCAACGCAGCTGGTGACTTGTATCTGTGGGTTCTGAAACCACACACTACGTAGTTAGTCAATGATGGTTGAGATTATACCAAACCATGTGCAGACTTTATTTGCTGTCACTGTCCCTAAATAATATAGTATAACCACAACATTTATAGAGAATTTACATTATACTGGGTACTATGAGTTTTCTAGAGATAATGTAAAGTACAAAAAGAGGATGTGCAAAGTTTATGTGCATTTTCTATGCCATTTTACATAAAGGACTTGTTCATCTGTGGGCCTTGCTATTTGGGGGCGGTGATCATAGAACTAATTCCCTGTGGGTGTCAAGGGACAACCATCTAGAATTCTAGGTTGAACCAATTCATGGTTTCTCTTTCAGCACATTAAATATATCACTCTTTTGTCTTTTGATCTGTGTTTATGATCGAGGATGGCCTTCATTTTTCCTTTTCTCCTCCATTTACCCTTTTATCTGTCTGAAATGTGTTCTACCAGATCTGTCCACTCTGGCTGCTTTCAAAATATTTTATTGTTGTTTTTTAACAGTTTCAGCAATAAATCAAAGTGACTATTTTTCTGTTTATTTTCTTATTCTGCTTGAAATTCTCTCAGTTTATGGAATCTCTATGTTGAAATTGTAGCAGTTATCAATGAGAACATGATAAACTATACTGAAATGCTAAAACAACATTTATGATCTGCAGGTTCTATCTGTCAGGCATCCGGGCACAGCACAGAGGGGTCCTCTGACTCAGGGTCACTCATAGACTGTAATGTATTGACTGAAGTCACCCCAATCTTTGCCTGGGGAGGGAGTACCTTCAAGTTCACTCATGTTGGACAGAGGGTCCACAATTCCCCGGCTATTGGTTTTTGGCCACTCTTAACTCGCTATCACAGGTGTCTCCCCAGGACAGCTGACAGTGAGTTGGACTGCTTTAGGAGGACAGGAAAGCTAGAAGAGTCAGAGAACTGCAAGCAAGTCAGAAGTCACAGTCTTTTGTAACCTGATCTCACAAATGAGTTCTCATCACCTTTACCACACTGTATTTATGTAGAAGCAAGTCATAAGATCCAGTCACCACCCAATGGGAGAAAATCATAAAGAGGTGGTAAACCTATTCCACTAAGTCATATACAATGCTGCAAATCAATGTTGCCCCAATATAGGAAGGAAGAAGAAGAAGAAATCAAATCATGGTCGGGACACTAAGCCAACTGGATCCTTGGGAGTCACCTTTAGAGGCTTGCTATCATAGATATTAAATAAATTTGAAGATTTCTCAGACTTTACTTCATGAATATTTGTTTGGTTTCATTTTATTTCCTTGTGAAACTACATTTTTTGGTCTTAAATTATTGTTATTTTACCAAAAATTACAAAGTTTTTTTTTAATTTATAATTTCCATTTTTTCCCTTTCTGTTCTTCATATTGAACAACTTTTATTTATCTGTCCTTAGATTCATTGAAGATTTCTTCTGCTATCTCCAATGAGTTCAATTCAACCTACTGAATTTTTCACTTCAGAGGTTGGACTTTCTAAAATTAATGTTTATTTCTTTAATATAGTTATCATGTCCTGTTTATAATACCTATTGAACTGTCCTCTTAGTGGACTTGGTAGTGTATCACACAGAATGCCTCTGATCACTCATTGTGATTATTTTGCCTTTAAGTCTTCAGACATGTAAATAATAGTTACTCTAAAAATTCTGCCTGATCAAACATCAGTGTCCAAGAGTTTGTTTTTAATAACTTACTTTCTTGATTTTTGATGAAATTTCACTCCCCCTGTCCAGTATGTAGTAATTTGTTACAATGTTTGGGCATTATGGGTGAAACCATGTAGAGACTATGGCCTCCCTCATTCTCTGAAGACACTGCTTTTTTCCCCTGCAGGCAGTTAAATCACAACCTTATCACAGTAACTTGCAGAGGTCTGGTTTTATGCTTCATTGGGGTGAACCATGTGTCAGTTTTGCTCTTAGTTTTCAATCTCATTCAGTTCTGGGAGACAGTCTGCTGTAAAGACATTGACCAACTGTCATTTTTATGAAAGGCTGAGAGGTTTACAAATCCCATCTCAACTTGTGAGACTCAAACTTCAAATTCTACCTCTCCTCCAGCAGTAACCACTGAGATCTCTATATAGCTTGTTGAGCTTCCCAGCTGTAGCTCTCTGCTTGGCTCCTAGAAATCTCCCTGCGGGAACTTGACAGAGTGGGCTTGACGCAAGATTCTCTCTCCTTTCTGGAATTTCTGCTTCCCATTATATTTATGGTCATTCTTGCAGCCTCCAACTCTGTCTTCTCCAAGCAAACAAAATCAAGCATTCTCTTTGATGCCTTGTCACCCCATGTCATATGCTCTGTGGAGTCTACTCAAGAGAAAAGGCAGATAAACATGTATCTCATTCACTTGAATTCTCTTCTTTCAAAGATAAAAGACCCCCACCTTGGTGTGTCTGTTTGCACTTAGTGATTCTCAACTAATATATCAAGTTGGTGTTTGTGCTAACAGTTTTCTCTTATAAATGTTATCTGGAAAAGGTTAGTTCTATGCAAGCTACTTTAACATAAGAAGAATTTACTGTAAGTTTCAAGTCTTGTTTTTAAAAATTATTTTTGATTAATGTTCTGGAAACACTGGAGAATCCTTGTGATGAGGTTAGCTTTTTCTTCCTGTTAATAAGCACTGCTATTGATATTTATTCACAGTCAAAAATACTGTCATTACTTTGCATTATTGTACAAATTGATGTGGGACTTTCTTTGGGAAAGGTAGTGAGCAAAAAAATAATATTCCAAGGAAAGTAGAAATTTTCAAAAATGTATTCTATAATAATAGGATATTATCAGGCAGAAAATATTCTATTGTCTATTTGTATACTAATATGTCACTACATATTTCCATACTAAAAAAACAAAACTAAAAAAGTAATCATGAGTCCATATATTTTTAAAAAAATGATTTCTCTATGCAGACATATTGCTTGTAGTACTCATACTGAAACATGGATATGAATATTTGAAAAATATTTTCTCTTCATAGATAAAATGAATAAGCATTTGAAAAGTCTCAAGCATACTAAATATGTTTTTTGACTTTTCAAAGGACAATACACACAAAAGACTTGTATTCTTCTTAGGGAATATTTGAAGTTTGATTTTCCAATCCTTACAGTGATACAAGTTTTCTTTTTCAAGATTTATAAATGGCATTATTTCTTGGTGCCATGATTTATTCTTTAAAAAATAAATTAAAAAGAAACCGTGTTACAATAACTGTGGTTATTATGTTTATTAATAACCACATGTTTATTTACATGTTTATTAAACATGTTTATTAAAGGCAAACTGTTGAAGACATTTGCTATAGCAATTACCAGATATATTTGGAGAACAGCAATACTTAGATACAGTGAATTTTGAAAAGAATGTTAATTGACCTAAAATGAATCGGAATATGATGCAAATATCTCTGTTTTATCATATTAAAATTTACATTGGCCCTCCCTGGTGGCACAGCACTGAGAAGCTAAAGTCACTTCAGCATGAGTTCGATTCCCGCCTGCCCGGGAGGTGACCACATGGCGCGGCAGACCTCTCCTGACCCACCCACTGCTCCCCTCAGCAATGTACTTCGTAGATCTGCCTGTTCTGCTCCCCACTCTGTCTCTGGTGAAGCCTCTCGCCGCCCCTGAGCCTCTGGCCTGTATCCCAGTTCTGTATGCACAAATAAATAAATTCTTAAAAAAAAAATTTACATTGACTATCATGCAGCTCAACAAAAAATACCTTTGTATACTTTCTCACTATATGGACCTATTCAACATCAGACCAGCTCTACATATTTTGAGTAATTCATTAAAAAAAAGCCACCTTATTTTGCATAATAAAATAATATAGAAATCACCATTCATTCCGGTCAGCATCACAGTTGCAGTAGTATTGAGAATCAATGCAGTTCCCCTCTAATCCACAGGTGCATTTCTGAGGCTCTGGCAAGGAACCTCCCCAGTAGGTCTGTGTTTCATTAGTTCTTCCAACCCACCAGCTCAGAGGAATTCCATCTAAAACACAAATATGAGAAATGTGGCATTTGCTCTCTAATTACGTCTTCTGTCCCAGTACAAGTCCCTCCCTTCCCAAAACACTACCTATATTAGCAGGAAAAAGAAAAACTGATTTGATGTATAATATTGTGAAAATAATATAATCAATGACATTTCCTTAATAATGTTTTTTTAATAATGTTATTTTTTAAATATTATATTATTTAAGTTTAAGTGATTGGTATATTTTTCCTTGAGGATTTCTGATTTAATTCAGGCATGGTAGTAAAAATGTATGAAGAGCAGTTCACATAGGCAAATTTCTCTAAAAATAATTTTGATACTTAAGAGGGCATCAAAATAAGAAGCACAACAATTAACAGGTCAGAAACCAAACTGAGTTGAGAGCATGAAATGCCCATTAAAACATTATGTAATCTTCCATAAAGTCAGTGATTTATCTCAGTATTCACTGACTAAAAATATACTAGCTATGTATTAAATGTTAGGTATGATATGGCACTCCCTTGTCAAAAGCTAAGATATATTTGAAAGCATGCATTTTTTTCTTCCATTAAATGGCTTGGCTATTTATTTGTAGACTACAGAAATAACACTGAGAGATCTTTATGCCTGAAGCAAATATCACACTCAGAAACAAAGTCTCCGTTAACCAAATCCATTTCTTTCTATGATAAATGTTTAGCTACTAGCTTGTTCTCACAGTTAAGACTAACACAATGCCAAGGAACTAAAGCAAAGAAGAGAAAGAACATTTAGGTGGGATTTTTAGAAAAACAGGTGAGGTGTGAAAGTAATGGCTTAGGGGGTGGGGAGTGGAAAGAGATGGTGGAGAGGGAAATTACAGTCATCTTGACAGCCAGGGCAAGAGAAGAATGTGGCACCAAACTAGTCAGCTTCTTCATTAGGCTTGATTTTTTTCCTGTTAACTTTGAAGTCTTTAAATGGTTGCCATCAGCCGCACTGAAAACCTAGCACATTTGCTAATTGCCCCCTTACTTACAATGCCCAGGCTCACTGGAGCTTACCTGGGGTCCTACCAGTGCTGACAGCCCCTTTCCCAGGATTACTGTAATGTTGTCCAGTTGTGCCAAAGAACAAGGAGTTACCAGAGATTGTCTTATGCATAAATACATTAATATTAAGAACTTTCATTTTTCATTGCAGGATGACTCCACAGAAGGTGAACCCTTCTTGGAACATTTAAGTAGACATACTAAATGTTAGTATATGATAACATTGTGTTCACAGATTACAGAGAAAATGAACCATTATTCCTAAACGTTGAGTAATATTTTCCATCTAAATTTCCCTGTGAAATAGAAACCATGCAATGTTTTCAACCTATCAACTACCTTCATTCAAGACTTTAAAGGGTCCTAACATTTTCACACAATATAAGAAAATCATGAGAAACCTTCAGAAGTTAATAGAGAGAGTAAAATATCAGTGAGCATGACAAGACATCCCTCAGAGACTAAAATCCAAATGATTTGAGAGTTCACAGTGATCATCTTTCCGAAACACTGAGGAACAGACCCACAGCTTGCTGAAAACACATTTCCACACACATTTCCCTTATTCATCCACAATTACGGCACCATTATTACATAAAACTGCTAGATCTTCAAGATCTGAAACTGTAAATGAAAGCTGACATCAACTACCAACTTCGTGTTCTTCCCAATCTATTTCTTACTGTGATCTCAAAATCCAAATTATTCTTTTTCTTTTCAGTCTCCCCAGCTCAGATCTGTGCCACATGAATTCTCAGGTCAGGGGCCTGAGGAAAAAGTGGATGTTGAACAATGTGAACAATGACCACCACCCCTGTTCCACCACCTTCTTTGGTAGTGTCTCTTCAACCTGGCTGGAAAATCTGGGGCATCTGACCAAAGATAGCTGTGCATTGTTGGCCATGAGTGGGGATTCCTTCATACTCTCAGCTCCTTTAATTTGTGTGGCACTTGCATACTAACCTGATGAGGATTTTTGTCTTTTGGTTCTTTTAGAGTTTGACTCATTGGTGGCTTTCATGGCAGTCTTCCCTTTCCCAGTAAAGTAACTCAATCCATTTATTTCATAGTGGCCATTTACCCTTCATTAGCCATGGTTCTCATTCTTCTTATAACACACTTCCACAATTGTTAATCTACCTTTTTCATTCCAGGATGAACAGTCAGCAGCAATGAACAATCAGTTGCACGCCAAGTAGGGGAGTCAGGTATACACCCTGCTCTGGCAGCTTAAGTGTCACTGTGATGGAGGCCTGGAGCCAGAGGGGCTCACTGTGTGCTCTCTGTATGTGACGCATCACACTACCACCCTGTGAGGCTGTGTTGTTGGCCCTGTTTCACAGGAGAGAAAGCAAAGACCAAGAAAGACTAATGACCCAAATTCACTGTTCAGTTAGTGAGAGACCTGAGCCCTCTCTCCACCTTTGGGTCCCAAGCTCTGTGCATCACAACCACCTAAGGTCACTTGCAGATAGGGCTGAGCTTCTGGGCTGCTAAGACAGAGTGAGACTACGGTAGACAGCCAAATAAGGACAGTCTGAAAAAGAGGGAGAAGGACAAGGAGGATGAGGAGAGGGACTCAGGTACAGGGAAGACACCGGTCAGTTCAGTCAGTTCTACTCAGTGGAGGGAGAGCAACAGGAGAGCTGCTCTCCTGGAAAGACATTACCAAGGGCTCAACACTTTCCCACACAATCATACAGCCTATGACAGCAACGTATGAAACACGGCTCTTTGGAAGTTCTTGTTACTCCATCTTGAACAACAACTCTCTGAACAGTCAACACTGGGGAGTGAATACTGATGGCATGGCTTCAGAAACTTCTCTAATTTCTAAAGAAAAATATGCCTCCCCATGGCCGCTGACGGAGGGTGCTGGGAAGTAGCATAAGGGCTACATGAACATGAAGGGTCTGGAATGCTCAGGGAAATTGTCCAGACAGGACAGTCTGACAGCTAACAGGCCATGAGGCACTCTGGCTTGCTAAGCAGGAAGTGCCATGATGAAAGGACTATTCCTTCAGGGTACACATTCACATACAGACGAGTATTTTGGATTATGCTTGGACTCTTAGAAGATGAGGCAAGGAGGCAGACTGAGAGGTCAGCTGGAAAGGTCTTGCCATGACTTCAAGGAGAGGTCAGAAAGGCCCACAGCAAGGCAAAACTGGAGACTGTCTCACATAATGAGGTGTTCTCAAGGGAGAAAACACAAAACCCAGGGCAGATTTTGGGAGCAGCCTGGTTATTAAAAGTAGGATAAAAGAAAGATTAAGATGGCTTTCTGATTTTTACTCGAGCTACCGAATAAAGTGTGTTCCCAGCTGTCTGTTCTCATTTTCCCCTCTACCCCAGAGGCTGTCCACTAGCCATCAAAGTGTCACACCAAATATTCACTTCAGAAAACTAAGTCAAATTTTTATTAACTCTTTTCCATGAGAAAAAGAATTGTATGTGTCACCTGCCCTTTAAAAGGGATAAACCCCTTGGCTTCGTAGAGGATCAAGACAAAGTCCTTTTTGTACAGCTATCCAATGAAGGCCAGGAAGATTCTGAAGGCAATCAAGACTCTGAACAGAGCTGGATGCAAATTGATCTTGTTCTTTTCTTCAGGCAAAAGCATCACGGTGACCTCTAGACTGTGACACGTTTGCTAAATACACAGGGAAATACACAGGGAGTTCAGACCCTCAAGGCCACATGCCACCAGCTTGACAGCATTAAAATCCTTGGCAGCTGGTTGAGCAAAATGCACACCACCACCCGCACAGTGGGGCCGCAGTTTACCTACCTTGCTTACTGACAAGCCGAGACCTCTTGCAGTAGTAGGTAAGCTCCTGCTCACAGTGCTCCGCATGGTTAATTGTGGCCTGGAGTTGCTCCATGCTGGCCACATACTCGAAAAACCCGGCATAGGGGTTCTCTGGATTAGTATTTCTGACTCTTGTCAGGGTAGAGCCATTGTGCTGTAGGATGGTCCAGGCCGTTTCTTGTATGCAGAAATGGGGGAAGAAAGAGAGGAGACCATCACTAGTCTGCAAAAGTTAAAATAAATAAAGAAAATCAAAATCACCTTTGATCTGAGTCAAACTTTCTAGTCATCAAAACTCGCTGAGAGGTAGAATCAACACAAATGGATGCTTCAACTTTTAAAATTATACTAATGTGATCTTGCCCCTAAAATTTATACGGCTGCCACGCATTTGCAGTGATTTGATTTTACCTCGTATAATTCAGCAAGGCAATATTTATGGTGAAAAACATTAAGAAAACTGACTATTAAATTTTTGTGATATGTTTCATTTCATCAAATCTGATCATCTACTTTCTAATGATGCATGATTATTTTCTTTTCCTTCAAGAAAAAAAAATGATTCCTAGTACAATTACAAAACAATGTAGACAAAGAACTCAGAGATGTGACAGCTCTGGCTGTAGAAATGTGTACCTTAATTTTCTCAAATATGTTAAATGTCATGATGCAAGCAATGACTTTTGCACCCTGACATTTGTGTTAGCCACAAAAAGGTCAACTTTTTATGACCTGTACATATTTCTCTTCAGACAAAATTTAATTATGAGTACCTGCATATACACCTATTCCTCTTACTATTTGAAATGTTCACTTTGGGATCATGTGACCTGCATGGCCAGACAATGAACCAGTTCCTCTTTTGAACTGAAAACATGTGGCACAGCAGGGACATTTCCATTGGCACAAAAATACATTCTCTCCTTGAATATTTACTAGAACTATCACTATTAACAACTGAATGTCTGTAAACATTTCCATCATACTGATTAGCAAAATTATTTAGAGAAAATAAAAACCTACAATGTTTGCACCAGAAGATAGGCATACTGTAACTATCCTTCAAATTCCCCATCATCAGACCTCGCGTTACAGTTCCTGTGTTTTATGCAGGCATAAGAACAGATTGATCCAACAGCCTCTGATTTTCTGGGTAGGAGACAGATTGGAAGTTGTCAAAACTCTGCTGTATATGCGCTGTTAAATCACATACCCCATCTGTATTCGGACAAATTTTCCAAATTGGAGGACAACAGTAGTTAGAACGACCCCGCCTACTTTTTGGCTAACATAGTCAACCAGATCAACATCAACACAAGACAGGGGAAAATTCACCCCCACCCCTTCCTGGTGATCAGAAAGTGGAAGAGATAGGCCTGCTAAATCAAAGAGACAGGTGATGAATCTCACAGCCTTGCTGCCTTCCATGTGTGGGTCACTGTATTTCTCTGAAACAAAAGTTGTTACTTTCATGTCCAACTTGCCTCGCAGGTCACTATCGTGCTTTTATCACTGAGACACATTCCTTGAGAGGACATGATTTATAAACTAATGAAATTACTATGGATGGCCAGACAGTGTAAAGACTGTCAGGGAGGTTAGACCTGGCATGGGTAGGTGCCCTGAAGAAAGTCAGGCAAAAATGAGCTTTCATCTTGAAATTTGGAAAATAAAGGGGCAGGATATAGTAAGCAATATCCTAAGCCTGAAATTCTAGAATTTTAGCCAACTCAAAAGCTGGAATATTGGGAATTCAAGCAAATCTGGTAGCCTCACCGCTGTTAGATTGTGCTTTTATTTTTAGCAAAACCATTCATCTCTTCTTGGGGTCAACAATGGCGTGCATGAAGCAGCTCAACTCTCGCTGGGCAGCTGCCACAAGAACAGGACAAAAAACCCGCTTGAAACTTTTGTCTCTTTGCCTCTGGAGTCCCACTGAAAGGGACTTTTCTATAGTTTGGTGTCCACTGGGTCACAATTAACATATAAATTCTAAAGGGCTTTTAAGGTCTCCTAAGGAATGAGGCCACGGGACATGACAACCTTTCAAGGGCCAATCCTGTGTTTCCTTTTGAAATTTAAAAGTATGACACTGGTTCCTGAAAGTGATTTTATTTCCTAATGAAAACTGCTGTCCAGCATGAAGGCAAACAGATGCCACACTTATGACACGAGATTTCCATGGCAAAGCAGAGACAATGAAATTGTCACAGTCTGTGGAGGCTGAGCTGTAGAGATGAGGGCCCACTACCTAAGGTGCAACAGCTCCCCACTGTTTTCTCAGTTAAGTGTTATCTGATGTTTCCACATACACCTCTTTAGAAACCTTAGAAGCTGTAAACGAGATAGACTTCATCACCATTTGTAATTCAGCATCTTAATGATGCTATAGGTCTTTGCAATGGTTCTGTAAGCTCAATGAGAAGAGTTTCTGATTTGCTAACCAGGAACCTCTAGCATCTGGCACAGAGGCTAGACACCAGCACGCGAGGAGGCATTTGTTAAAGAGAAGAGGGAATGAACGGGTCGATAAGAACAATGTGCTGGCTAGACTGCCTGATTCTACTCATCGCTCTGGGATGTTCACTGCCTTCTACTGTGGAATACTGTAAATTATAGGTGATGGAGAAGTTTGAAACCAGGAAGGCTCAGAGTCGTTATCCTCCTTGGAAGTTAAAATGCTGCCTTCTATACAGATCTCTCTCACTATAGCTGTAGCTGTAGATGCTCTAGATACAAACACATCCTAAGAGACATGGCCTCTGGGTTAGGTACATCAGCTCATAGACTCCTTGCAACATCCATTATCGCCCTGCCCCAAAGTTCCAGAGGCTGAAACGATGAGTGTTCCCTGCACTGCCCACACAATGGGGTTGCATGCAAGAGAAAAGCCCCAATATTAGGAGCCTTGGAGTTTTTAGAGCAGGTGTTCCCTCCATGGAGTGAGAGAGGCAGCTCGGCTCAGGAGAATGAAGAGGTAAAGCCTTAGGTCTTTGCCCCAGATGACCTACAAAGCCTTTACCTCTCTCCAGAGAAACTAAGTAACTCCAAGATATATTTCCATTTACTTTTTAATGCAGGCTTCCTGGTAGGCTGGTTTGTTTAGACAGCAAAGCCTTGTTCCCTCACCACAAGCAGAGTCTATAGACAAGCGAATTCCCCCGAGAGGTCGCCTGACTCCTCTCTGCTGTGCAGGACGCCACTCTGCATCCACACGCACATTCATTCCACTATTCCTGAGAGACAGCGGTGTCTTCTCTGGCTTCTCCTCTGAACTGGTTGTAACATCTTACTGGCTTTCTCATTCATCCCGTGTTAAACAAAATCCTTAATTCGGGTTTTTAGTTTCTACCTGTATATCTGTATGAGTCATGTTTTTTTTTTTAATTACCCTTTATGAAATGCAAAGATCATTTTTACAGTGAGGAGACAGAGGCAGATAAGTAAGAAGACATAGCCAAAAGAGGCAGGAAATCTATGAAATTTAGTAACTCACTAAAAAAAGAAGAGGAGAGGCAGTTTGGTTCTACCCATCTCTCTTCCTGGAGAGATTTCTAATATATAGATTGCATGTAAAGCAACTCAGTAATTAAGACCTTGATTTATCTTAGTTGACTGCTATTTTTTAGTGTGATAACAGTGTAAGGGGAAAAAACATGCTGTTTAAGCAACACCATTGTAGAGTTGCTTCAGGGTTCACTGCTGAGGGTGATGGATGTGAAGAAGACTAAGTGCAGGTAGGAAGTGCTGTGTTAAGAGAAGTGGGGAGACAAGAGGGGAGACTGAGCCTCTTGGAGTCACACTTGAAGCAAACAAGGTTGCATGGGAATAATGTTGGTTCCTTATTAACACTCACGGCTGGGAAGGTGGCCTTCTTTATGGAAATCCTTAAAGAAAAAATAATTTCGCTATATTAAGGCTCATGTTCTCCAATCTGCCTTATCTCATTGAAGGCTGTCAGGAGCTCTGGTCTCAGACCCACACGGGGAGCCTGGTAATAGAGCAGAGATCCAGGTCTGGGTCTCTAAACTCGCTGAGTCAGCAAAACGAAATCCAACTCTCTCCATAGTGGTACAGAGGGATAGGTTGAAGGTAAGCCACAGAATTAACATTTTAAAGAAAAGCCACTATTCTAGCTCTCATCAATTTTCCTCACAGAAACAATCATCCTTATAATGTAATGTTTGATAGTGAGAAACTTCTTGAATATAAAATGATTTCATTATAGAAAAAGTAATGGATTTAGTGTAGAAGAAAAAAACCCTATATATTTCAATAGAGACAGCTACATTGGGATTCATATTATCCCTTTTTTCAGTTATATTTAGAACATTCTATTTACAAAGAATTTTCAGCTTCTAGCAGAATTCAGGAAAATACCCATCCAAAATAGACTTTTTGTTAGCGTCTTTTGGTTCATAATGTCTAAATGTATTTAAATACATGTCGCATAATTTGTTTGATACTAATTCTAATTAGCAACTTTTTTTTTTTTGTAAAGTTATACAACTACAAGTTACCAATTGAGCATCTTTGCTTGTTTTCATAATTGTTATGCCTGGTTTGTATTACCACATTAAGCCAGGATATATTAGTATCTATAAGCAAGGAGACATTGTTAGAAGGTAATCTCCCATTAGAAAAATATTCCAGCTGAGAGAGAGGCCACGGCTGTAGTTTGAGATGGCTTTCTATTCTTTGACCTGCTTCCCTGAGCCCTTCCCCCCACAAGTCTTGGCCTCCTCATTTACAAATCCAGATCAACCAGAACTTTGGATAGTAGCCCGTATTTCTCTCTGGGTTACTGCATTCTGGAATTGTCACTTTTTGTTTGAATATATTTCAGTATTCAAAATTTATAAGGACACTTAGCTTCTCATTGAAATATTTATGCACTTGCCCTCAACAGCTTGCTTTTCAAATGGCTTTGATTTTTTTGAAAGTCCTCATTTTCATCAATGCTTTTTTAATAATTTTGCTAAAGTGTCTTTATCCTCTGTGTATATACTTTAATTTCAAGGTTCTTAGAGTTGTAGCTAGACTTACGTGACTAAAATAAGGCACATTAATTGGAAATGTAATATGTTGATTTAATAGATGAAATGATTTGTTCAATAAAATGAACTGATAACCTTATTATTTAGATAGTACGACAGGCATATATCATAGTCTCTGTG